TTTTCTTTACAAAAATATATAAAATAAAGAAATTAAAAAATTCAAGTAACCGATATGATTGTTTATGATTTTCGGTAATTAAAAAAAATTTTGTTGTAAATTTTAAAATTAAAAAAACAATTTTGGAACGTATTTGGTGTGCGTCATATTGTGCATTTCAATTATTTTAAAGTCCTAGTAAATAGATTTTACGAATTTGATTAAAAGTAAAATATTTTGCAACCGCGCACACTAAATACGTTCCAAAATTGTTTTTTTAATTTTTAAATTTACAACAAAATTTTTTTTAATTTCCGAAAATCATAAACAATCATATCGGTTACTTGGATTTTTTAATTTTTTTATTTTATATCTTTTTGTAAAGAAAAAACTAATTTTTTTTTCTTAATAGTCTTATGAACGTGGACTTGGCGCGATTTTTTTACAGTGAAACTGTTTTTGTTCGGATTATACTTTAACATTTTAGACATTTACATAGCGAATATTACTGTTTGAAATAGTATTTTCTTCCATGTAAAGAATAAATTGTAACGTTTAAATTGTAAATATTATAAAGTGAATAGTAAAATCACGATTTTACTGTTTGAAATGGTAATTTTTAGCAGTTGATCATTAATTATTATAAATCGACTGTTATTTATTACAGTTTACTTTTTTCCGTGTAGAATTTAATGCTTTTTGCAATTTCAAGTTATTTTCAGAAGTAGAATTTGACATAACAATTGTGCTATCACCATAATATATCAGAATACTGTTATCAAGTTTAATAATTTTTTTTTTAATTCATAAAAACAAAAAATTTTTGAGTCACCTTTTAGATCTCATGGATAATTATCCATCAGATAGTAAAAAAAGTGATTTATTTAAACAAATGGCGTCACGTATACAAATTATACGTTGAATAGAATGTACGCCCTACCTAAATATCACCCTAACTTTCCAGTCGATATTCCCATTACCGGGATAATTAATCCTTGGCATAACGTATACGTACAGTAACATATCGTAGCCATATATACTAAAGTCGAGGTGATTCGATCTGTTTAGTCAATCGATAAGGCGACTCATTGTCAGAGTATAACATTAAACCAACACATGTGAACCAATCGCTGTGGTATTGCTATAAGTATTAGTATTAGTATTAGTATTAGAGCGTTCATATGATAATATACATATGTATACAAGCAAGGAGTATTAGTACTATTATGGTGTTGTTATTATTATTATTATTATTATTATTATTATTATTATTATTAATATCGGTGTTGTCGGGTTCTGTAAACTCTAAACGTAATATACATCAGAGGAATTTTACCCTGGAGTTTATGGGCTCGGTGTTACAGCTTACAGCATCTCTGTGCCCTCATCTGTGCTCTCGTGCATCATACACTTTATATATTAAAGCAGAGGACTGCGATAGTGTAAACTATTTTTCCATTTTTCTTCGACAGAATAGAGAGTGTAGGTTGAACTTTATACCTCCAGCCTTGGTAATAGAAGCAGAATCCACTGGATGTGCCCGCAAGAAATAAAATAGACGTGTGTTAGATAGAGCTAGACCCAGCGCAAGAGTAAGAGTAAGATGTGACAGCGGTTTAACGGGTCGTAGTTGCAGGGTTTTACACTTTACGATTCAACGGTCTTTTAGGTAAAGCGCTGCTGGAATCAACTCATCGATTTATCTTCTCGATGCTGCTTTTTTATCTCGCCTTTTTTTATCCGAGGCTTTTCTACTTGGCTATTGCGATATCGTGATTTAATCCGATAGATAAATGACCCTTTAGTGTTAGTTTTATGTGATATACTTATCAGGCCGAGTGTTTTCGAGTGATTTTATAATTGTAGTAATAAATTAAATATACTTTTTAATATAAAATTAATTTATTATATTTAATCATTTTTTTTTTTTTTTTAATTAAATAAAACTATTTTTTACTTTGTATTACAAACTCAGTTGCTTATTTAATAAAAAGTTGCCCGCCTAATTTTTTTAAAAGAAATAAAATACTTTTAATAATATTAGCTTGTATTTTATTATACTGTACGCACATATAGAAAGTAAAAAGTTTACGGGCTTTAAATATCGAATTTTTTTCCCTTCGAATGAGGGTAGGTCAGTACGTAGAAAATTATAAGGGGTTGTAAGGCATCGTTTCTTGTTACTCGTACGTGTCCCCTGTCTCTACACACTAGTCTGCTACACACTTACTCACACGCCACCACAAATAATATATATAACCTACACCGAAAGACATATATATATATTTATTTATACGTATAAAAGTTAGGTAAAAGCCTTGTCGAATAGAACAGTGATCGGCACTAAACTTTTCCCCCATTCGTAGCTGAATATTTTAGGGAGCAATTTTAAGCCCCTCGAGACAGACACGAATCTCCCTACAGCAAAATATACATACACTACATACTCTCTTTTCTCGAGTCGTGAATACACAAAACCCAGTGCAATTAATAATCCTCTCTCAGACTCTCATTCTCTCAGTCTCAGACTCATTCTCATTCTAATTCTCATCATCCACCCCAACCAAACTACAACGTACTTTTTACAATTTTAAATAAAATCCATTGTAGTTATTCATAATAAAATCCACACATTCGAAACATGGATCAGATTTTATTTCATTTTAAAATTATTCACAGCAATTTTTTACGCGAGCTCAGAGAGTGTAAAAAAATAAACGAAGGAGAGGCAGAGACAGTCCAGCTGTCAGGAGCGTGATGAAATGATTTTAAAAAATAATGCAGCATGTGCCAATAGCGTAATTGCAATGTGTAGTTCTCGTCAGGTGTATTGAGCTCGTGTCTTGTCTCAGTTCGTTCAATTGCAATTACACGTATATGCATGAGGATAAATAATAATAGCAATAATAATATACTTTTAAGGTGGATGTGGATACATCAGGATATGGATATATAAAAGATGCACCTGCTGATGGAGCATGCACCCGCATGGGATGTCAGTGTCAGTGGATACTTGTCCAGGTGTCCCGTGGGCAAACTCCTTCCAGCGGTGCACTCCACTCGCACCGCACCACCATCACAGGTACAGCTGATACATGAACAGAAGACACCAGAGAGGAGAGAACAGTCTCGATCACGTACAACGAAGATAAGAAATTCGAGACGCCGAGAAGGGATCACTGGTCGCTTCTCTTAAAAAACCTCCCGTCTTTCTCTTTAGTCTCTTCAGTCTTGGGTAATTCTTTAGTTATTTTCCTTTTTTATCGTCTGTCCTCGGACCAGAGGGAGGAACGGGGTACAAGAACAGGGGCAGGTGTTGAGAACTGTACGCCTGGCAGCTGCCTCCCACCTGGAACCTTAACCTTTGCGTATTATTTATTCCTTGGGCTTTTTTTATCCTTGTCAGCCTTCTCGCTCTTACTCCGCGAATTTCGGCTACTTTTCGATGAATCTCGGCTATTTTTTTGGGTATCAGGCGTTATTATCCCCGGGCAAAATATCCCCGGACAAAATACAGTCGAATCGCGTTATGAGTCCGGCTTGTTTTCTTTGTTTTTTAACCAGACTCGTGTTAATATGAGGGAGACACAAGGAGGGCTTATAACGCGACTCGACTGTACCTTCAGACAAAATATCCTCGTGACAAAATATCCCCCATAAAATATCCCAATAAAAAATTTTTTGGTAAAAAATATCCTCTATGACAAAAAAACCCCGACAAATTATCTTTTGCATTCGTTATAGGTCTCGCAAATTTGAATAAAAGAAAAAATTTAAAGGCACAACACGGTAAAAAGCGTATGTGATGGTCTAATATCGAATAAACACACACAAAAACCATGTTAAAAGGGCACAACACGATTACCTGCATTTGTAATGGTCTATAACTGAGCAAACACACATAAAAACCATGATTATATTTTGTTTCAAAATTTAAATAAAATTTTTCAAAAAGTTTTTTTTTTTTATTTTTTAAATAATAAAAATTTTTATAATTTTCCTGATAAATACGCACTCCAAAATGCAAATCATTGTTGTTTATTACTTTTACTTATCATAATAATGATAATAATAGAAAAATTAAAAATAATAATAAAAGTCTGCGATAACTATTTTTAAAATTCAACCCTGATTAAAAATAAATATATATTTATATATATTCATTATAAATTATTAACTTGTTTTTTATTTCTTTAAATCAAATCCTTTTTTGAGGATAATTCATATTTTATCAGTGATATTTTTTTTTGGGATATTTTGTCGAGGATATTATTATTATGTCTGAAGATATCTTGACACGGGGATACTTTGTCCGGGGATGAAAATGCATGGAACCATATATTTTTTTGGATTTAAATTTGATCAAGCAATACTGCCGAGAAAATGGAGGAGTAGTTCTGATAGACGAACACCCGCACGCGACTCTGGTCTACCACAATCTCCATTAAATTATGTTTATGAGATATGTATATGGATGTACCAAGCATTTGTGCAATGGAGTCGAGTATGTAGAGAACAGTAGTGCATACACATAATACACTAGAGTGAACATACACCGACCGCATACATACGTTTCCGGGTTGATTAACGACCCATGGATAACTGTCTTTTGGGGAATAATACTACTGAGTACTCTCAGTACTGAGCACGCTGTAATATAGATTAAGTTTATGTATTTTCATAATCTAAAATTGACATGACAGTTACGCTGTTAACACAACTGACACTTGTCACCTATATTTCACTATTTATTATTCGCTAATCTTTAGTGCAGTTAGCATGCTTTTTACTCTGACACTAACCTTTGGATAACAAGATAAATTCATAGGAATTTTAGCAAGTGTCAAGCTGATGATAAAAATAAAAAATGTTTTTAAACAAACTTTAAAAGAAAAGAAAGTTAAGTAAAATAATGATAATTAAACAGTAAATATTTCCACGATTAAATGTATTTATATAAATAGTTATTGCAAAGTTATCAACCAGCTGCCAATGGACAAGCAAACATATTCGAGGATAGTATCACCTGCCTGATTAACAGCCACCGTTTTAATGCTGAGAAATTCCAATACAACCGATCTAACTCTTTGATCAAGACATATTACATTACATTCTTAAAGGCAAACTATTTCCCTGTTTCGTATCCGATAAATAAATAATAAAATGAAATAAAATAAAGAAAAAAAATATTTACAAGCAGGCGTTGAGATCCTGAAAAAGTTTTAATTAAGTAGAAACGATTTTTCAGCAGGGACTTCACTGCTGAGGCTGAGAAATAAGAAATAAGAAAGACTAATGATTAAAAGCGAGCCACTAACGGGAAAGTTTAGGAGAAAAAATAAAATAAAAAAAAGTGTACAGCACCTGAATGACAGACTCGGGGATTGAGGAAAAAATATCTTGGCGTCACGGTTGTTACCTACATTTGGGCGGTGGCGTGTGTTTTACGAGGGTTTTAGTCGAGGGTGAACAGGTAAAAAAACTCAGCGAGCCACGTGTCCAAGACAGACGCGTGTTTTCACTCTAACGCGTGCGCGTGCTACTTGTGTATTATATTATTTTCGGTTAGATCGCCCTCGCTCTCTATATATGCATCATATCTCAAGCACTATCTACACTGACACACCTCGACACATATATTTCGATCCCGTATCGGTGGAAATTAAGCTCGTTTAAGGTCTTACCCTGATGACGATGACCATCTTGCGTCTGATGTATATGTTGTTACGTTTTTACATCAGACACGAGTCCGGCGCTGTCTCAACTGTAGCCCGCGTCACCTGCCTGCTGTCTCTGCATGATTATCCTCTTAATCTTTTATTTAACTTTCCGTTATAACCCTTTCTCTACCTCAATGACTCGAGGATCCCTTTTTCCCTCTTTTGGGCTCTTTAATTCCCCTTAAATTACTTCAACACTAATTTTATATCTCAAATTTTAAATTTAAATTAACGTACTAACGTTTATTATCATTTTAATTTATAATTATTATTATCATTGCTCTTTTTAACTTTTTTATTATGTCATTATTTTT